CTGCTCTCTACCCTCACTGCCTTCATTAATCGGTTAAGTGCCTCATGGTTTTATAACAGTACAGTCTTAAAATGTTTCTTCTAAGTTTAATTTCTCTCCTTTTGGCCTTTTAGGGACAGGAATTGGCATGAGGTGTAGACTCCTTTTGTCACAGCCACATGAGCCTCTCCGTGAATCTGCTACACCCATCCCACCCACAAGTCTGGAGACGTGTCTGTTTCCCTTTCCCCTAAACACTTAAAATATATTCTTAAGAAATGACAGCCTTGTAGCTTATTCATACGGCCTTCCCTTCTCTTTGGGTAGACTGTTTCTTATAAGAATTTGCTAGCTCTTTCCAGGAGAGTTCTGTATCTCTATTTTTAAAGCATTAATCCTGTCTTAACTTCCGAGAAGTAATTTTGCTTGAGTTTGCTCAGGCATGGGAACTTTTTTTTTTTTTTTTGAGAGTTTTTCACTATAGAGCGCATGCGCTCGCCAGACAGACAGAGAGAGAGAGACAGAGAGACAGAAAGCGAGAAATCACCCTCCGGGGGGATGGCCATGCCGCAATCCCTTCTCCTCCATTCTCCTCTCGGGATCTTGGGCACACCCGCACACGCGCCCGGCGTGAGTTTTAAGCCACCAGGTCCGGGAACCACGGTTGACTACGTGAGAGTCCAGTGACATAGCCATTACGCTAACTGCTGGTTCCCAGGCATGGGAACTTTTGACCTACGGTCAATTTTTCAGATTGTTCAGAGTGAACTCTTGGGTCACAGAAAAAGTACTAACTGGAACTGGGTAAAGTTTCTGGTTGAAATATTGACTCGTACCTGCTAGTCATGTAATCTTGCAGATCAGCCATCAGGCACTCAACTCATAAAACAATTAGATTACTGCATCTCGAAGGGATGCAGTAATCCCATTGACATATAATACTAGCTAGTATATGCAAGGCACTATTTTAAACATTTTCCCTCCAGTGCAAATATGACAACCATTTTAAGCTACAATTTGCATGTAATGAAATATGCCCTTTTAGAATATACAATTTAGTGGTTTTTAGTACAGTCATAGATATATGTAACTCGCCATTGTCAATTGTAGAATATTTTTATACTCCAAAAGAAACCTTGTAGCCATTATCAGTTACTTCCCATTCTATCTAACCCTCCCTTGCCTAGCCCTATGCAACTATGAATCCACTTTTGGTTTCTATTTGCCTATTTCAAACACTTTATATATTTGGGAACATACAAAATGTAGTCATTTTTGACTGACTTCTTTTACTTAAAACAATGTGTCATAGTTCATCCATGTAGTATGTGTCAATACTTCAAGTCTTTTTCTGGGCTGTATAATATTTTTTGTATGTTTTTTACACATTGTATTTATTCATTCATCAGTTGATTGATATTTAAGATGCTCCCACTTTTTGGCTATTAAGAATAATGTTGTTTTTAACATTTTTTGTACAAGTTTCCTGTGAACATATGTTTTCATTTTTCTTTGTATGTATGTAGGAACAGAGTTACTATATGGTAACTATGATTAACCTTTCCTGAAACGGCTAGACTGTATTCCAAAGTGGCTGCACTATTTTACACTCCAACCAACAGTATACCAGAGTTCAAATTTCCCCACATCCTTGCTAACATTTATTATTATCTTTTTATTATAGACATCCTAATGGATGTGAACTGATATCTCACATGGATTTTATTTGTATTTTTCTGATTACTGATGATGTTGAGCATCTTCTCACATACTTATTGGTTATTTGTGTATCTCATTTGGAGAATTTTTTTATTCAGATCCTTTACTTATTTTATACTTGGGTTATCTTTAATTATTGAGCTGTAAGAGCTCTTTATATATTCTAGACATAAGTCTTTTTTAGATATAGAATTTGTATATATTTTATCCCATTTTCTATATATATATATATATATATATGTGTGTGTGTGTATATATATATATATATTCTCTTGATAGTATCCTTCCAAGACCAAATATTACTAATTTGATGAACTCTAATTTGTCTATTTGCATCTATTTTTTCCTCATACCTAAGAATGCTTAGCCCAGATTACTAAGATTTACTCATTCTCTCTCTTTTTTTTTCCCTTAGAGTTTTTATATTTTAGCTCTTACATTTAGGTTTCTGATCAATTCTGAGTTAATTTGTGTGTGTGAGGAGGGGGTCCAACTTCGCTGAATGTGGACATTTAGTTGTCCCAGAACTATGTATTGAATTAAATGCTTTTTATCTCTAATTCATTTAATCTTCACAACAATCCTTTGAGGTAGACACTGTTTATCACTCAAGGAGGAAAGAAAGTTTAAGTATCTTGCCCAGTTCACTCAGTTATTGTATGGTAAGGCTGAGAATTGAGCCTATGCAGTTTGGCCCTAGAGACCATGCTGTTGACTATGAACTAACTCTCCTACTTGCCTGCATACCTACCTACTGACAGGGTAGAACTACCTCAAAAATAGTCAGTCAGTCATAAAAAGAAAACATTTTACCTACTAGTAGTATTTCATGCCTGTTGTGGTAATGCTGAAATGCTTCTGCTTTCTTAATTTGTGTGTGGTTGGTGAATTCAGTTGGTTGTAACATTAGCTAATACAAAGTCAGCGTTACAGTTTCTGTTCTGTATAGCTTAACTACAGGGGCTTTACCACCTCCCTGATCCACAGGCACCAGAGAGATCAAGTTAGAGGGAGGATGACCCTCACCAGTTCTAGATCACCAGACCACACAAGTTTTTGCAGTGATAGGGGAGGAGCTTTATTTCCCCCTACAGTCTTAAGCCATATGGATAACTGTTTTTTTTCCCTGAAGAATGTCTCCATTAAGAACTTTGGACTAGGAATATAGATCTCAGTTCTCACTCAGAGATTGCAACTTGATAGAGCTATAGATTCAGCCTCTTTTTTTTTTTTTTTTAAGAGAGATTTTTGCTATAGGGCGTGTGTGCTCACTGGAGAGACAGAGAGATAGAAAGACAGAAAGTGAGAAATTCTCCCTCCACCCCCTAAAGGGGATGGCCATGCTGCACTCCTTTCTCCTCCATTTTCCCCTTGAGATTTTGGGCATGCATGCACATGTGCCTGGAGTGAGTTTAAGCCACTGGGTCTGGGACTTGAACTGTGGTCAACCACATGGGAGTTTAGATAGGTAACCATTATGCCATTTGCTGATCCCTAGCCTCAATTTTTTTAAAAAAAATCTTAATTGAGAGGCCAGCAGGTAGCATAGTGGCTAATGCTCTGAACTCCTATGTGGCCAATCGTGATTTGAACCCTGGACCTGGCAGCTTGAAACTCACACTAGGGGCATGTGCGTGCATGCTCAAAATCCCAAGAGGAGGATGGAGAAGGGTTTGCAGAAGATCAAGCCCCCAGGAAGTCATTTTTCGCTTTCTATTTCTGTATTTCTTCAGTGAGCACATGTGCCCTATAGCAAAAATCTCTAAGGAAAAAAAAAAAAAAACTTAATTAGAAGTAAGCATACCAATTAAACATTTTCTGACTCATTAGTCCATTTGTAAGACTTTTATATAAGCAGAAATGTGGGAAATATAATTTTTAAAAATCTGAGCATATATTTATAGTCTTTTTCAGACTTAGTAATTTATTCAGTGATAGAGTGAGTATCAAATACCTGGAGAAATATTATTTCTTTAAATCAAGCTTTTGATTATTTCTATCTTCTATGAAGTGATTTCATTGATTTCTGGGTAATATTTTTGGCTAGTTGATGTATATTCCTTGATGTGTATTCAGAGAAACCAGCCATGTTTGAGCCTAGCAGAACAGTTGTAGAATTCCCCAATAGTTAATAGCAAGGAATTAATGCAGCAAGATGTGATTGCTGTCTGTCTTTCTACCAGGCCATAAATGCCATGAGAATAGGGACTCTGTCTCTTTTTCCCGTTTTACCTCAATTCCTAGTGTAAGAACCAGTACGTGTTTTCAGAGAGAGAAAAACCTTAAGGGATATGTTGAAGAGGCCAAATACTTAGTTCTACTGTTTCTGACAGAATAACGTTCCCTGGACACTCTCTTGTCTTACTAGCTCAGGAATCCAGTAGTGCGGAAAGAGAAAGGAAGAAGCCCAGTGTTTAAGTCACAGAGAACCACACTGGAGGCAGTTAGAATGAAGTTTGATGTATCAGTTTTATTTTTCATAAATGGGAAAAGTCAGGAGTAAGGAATCATTGCTATAAATATAGAGAGGAGTATGAAGAATTTGCAATGCTGGTAATTTCAGTTAGTAATAATGTCACCCCATTTTCAGATAGCTTTTAACATTTGTGTAGCACTTTGCTCATGATGTTTATAACAATCCAGAAAGGCCGGCTGGACAAGTGGAATTGGTCTCATTTTATAGATGAGGGAGCCAATTCAGTGTTTGTAACTTAGCGTGTATTAAATAGCTGATGATAAGGTTGGAACTTGACCCATGTCTTCTTATTTTTAAGTTCTCTATTTTCTCCATGTCTTTCACCCTCTCTTTCACCTAGTTTTGGGGCCCCCTTTGAGCAATCATCCAAGGGAAAAAATAAAAGGAACTTGAAAAATAGAAGGAACTTGAATTTAATTAGCTAATCTTTTATCTGTTTTTCCCTTTAGTCTAGAATGGAGCTGAGGAGAATCTAGTACCCTGTTTTTTGTTTTCGTTTTTGTTTTTTTGAAACCATTGAATATCTGTCTGCAGTAGATATTTATCTTCCCTGGAATTTTATTTCATGAAGACACTTTGAAATACTTGTGAGGTAATGATGAAGGCATGGCATTGACATCATGAGGCACTTTCGCTGTTTAGTTATGCTTGAAGTTGGAGAAGACAGCCCTGGGTTTTTTTATATGGTGAATCTTGGATTGAGCAGCGGCTGGCTGCTGAACTGAAATTAAGAAGCAGGTCTGTTCTGATGACCATGTCCTGTGGGAGGAGAACAGACCACTTTTTCTGCATGTGACTTCATTGTTTTCTTTTGTTCTCCTACTAGGTTTTGAAGGGAGCACCTGTGAGCAGAATATCGACGACTGCCCTAACCACAAGTGTCAGAATGGAGGGGTTTGTGTGGATGGCGTCAATACCTACAACTGCCGCTGTCCCCCTCAGTGGACAGGTATGTATAGTGGGCGAGTGCACCAGATGGGATATAGATTAGGAAGCAGGGGCAGGCTTATCACTCAAGTGGTCACCCTTCACAAATTGTCACAGGGCTGCTTTGGGACCAGTGTGTGAGCTGAGGGCTCTCTATGCTAAATCAGTGGGTATGATGATAACCCCATATGTTTTCCTGTGTTCATTCAAAACAAGCATATTTTCACAGTGTTAATGGGGAGCTGTTCTGAACTTAGCACTGTGCTAGGTGCTGTGGCAGATATGAGGGAAGACCATTACTGATAGACCCTGAGCTTATTATCTAGGAAAAGCAGCATATTCCTTACTTAATAAATATTTGAGTGTGGAAAAACATACTTAAATGCAAAGATAGGCTATCCAGACCACAAGTATTCAGAACTTTGGGCCAGCAGGTGGTATGGTGGTTAAGGTGCTGGATTCTAACATGGCTGACCGTAGTTTGAGTCTCAGACCTGGAGGCTTTCTCTCTCTCTCTCTTGTGAGCATATATGCTCTATGGAAAATTGAAAAATAACAATAATAATTAATAAAGTTAAATAAAAATAAACTTAAAAAAAAAGGAGTTTAGAGCTTACTGTTTGTTCATGGACCCGAGTCCATTTTGCCCCAAATCTAGGCAAAGGATTCGGCAAGCACTCTTGACGGCGTCTTTGTGTGACAGCTACACTCCGCTCCTGGTTTTCTTTCTTATATTCCTCTATGCACACAGGACAAAAATAGATTTTTCTGCCTCTGACATTAGAACAGTGACCTTATTTAATTTTACAGCCTGTTGGAAGTTTCTCATGTTGTTGTAGGCAGGGTTTTCACTTAGGTTTGAAAGTCAAGTGATTTTATGCAGACATTTGGATTTAGTTACTCTTTACGTGTATTTACTTATCTATTGAAAGGAGAGATAGCTAAGAATTAATACAAAGGGTCAAGAACTGAGGCTTTCTGAGAGAAATTGATTAACTTAATGGGAAACCCAAGAAGGAAATGGATGATACAAGAAGACAATATACTGCTAGTAATAGATTGTCTCTTGCAAAAAAGTCTTGATGTTAGGTTTTAGCCATTAATACCTGGTATTCTTAGGCATCTCTGAATTGCTTCCATAGCCTTTAATTACGCATTCTTTAGAGCTATAGCCTAATAGGAAAAAGCATAAAGGATTTAAGAATTCAGTAACACAATTTCCTGTAAGGGCACACATTTTTGCTTTTATTCTTCCAAAGTGTCCTTTTAAAATACTTTCCCACTAGGTTTCCCTAAAGTTGGACTTCCCCTAGAATTTCTTCATGGTGTCTTGATCCCCAGACTTCACTCCCAGCCTCCTGCTCTTTTCTGTCATATTCTCTTCTCTCCAGCTTTTGCTATTTCTATGGTAGATTTTTCTTTTTACTCTTTGTTTTGATTTGTTTTTGTTCTTATTGCTAGAGGAGGCATTGTAGCTGCTGGGCAAAGGGGGGAGAGAAAACACCCTTTAAGGGGCAAGGTCAAACCACAATCCTTTTTCCTCTGTTTTTTCATCCTGTCAGGATTTTAGACATGCACATACTACTACATGCTTTTCAGGCTGCCAGGGCTGGGATTTGAACTGCATTCAGCCAAATGGGATTCGACTCCCTTAACCACTGTGCTAACTGTAGCTTTTCTAAAGGTCTTTTTTTTTTATTATTACAAAAATTAAAGTTAACTACACAATTCCTAATAATTGGAAAGATTTGAACTTTTTTTTCTTTTTTATGGTATTAGGCAGGATGAGATACTTGTTATGAACTTGACCCCATTCTTTCCTTTGCCCTCTGGGAGAATGACTGTGTGGTACTAAGGCTTCTGATGCCAGTGCAGATTAAATGGTATTGTAATTTCGTTGCTGATTTTTCTTTGATACCACACTTGATTTCCTGCTTTGATACCATTTAGAGAGGCCTGATCTTAGGAGAAACTTTTCCAGTGAAATATTTTACCTGAATTTCTTACCCCAGGATGTTTAATAAATGCCCCCTTTGTATCAAAATCCATATAAGGTGTTCTTTCTGTGGGCTTTTGTATTTTCTAGAAAGGGTGGCAGGGATGATGGGTAAGATCAGTAAGGCAATTTTTATTTCTTGTTATCTGTTGTCTGTCATTTAGAGCAACCTTCAGCCTTTGGTTCCTCACCGCAGGCTTCCTTCCTCTTTTTTGCTCTTGCCGATTCTCTGATTTCCAATGGTAAGCCTTGCTTTTGCCTCGTCATCAACAGGACTTTAGTCCAAGGCCCTTCCTCTGTTCTGTTAAAACCCTCGTGGCCTCAGCCCTGTCTGTTTCTCCGGTCTTCTCCACGTGTGCCCGATAGCAGCGAGAACCGCCTCTCTTCTGTACTGTGTCGGTTTGCTGTATGGGTCGTCATTCACACTGTACCTTTTCTCTAGATTCTCTTACCCTGTGGTTGGTTACATCCTTCCAGAAGCCCTCTCTGATCTCTCTACAGGCTGAGCCACGAGTTCTGCTCTAGACTCTCTTGGCACCCCATGCTCCCCTTAAACTGACCTTACTATCTGTTTGGGAGGTGCTTCGTTAATGGGCAGTTGCACTGTCAATGACAGTAATTACCAGCACGTATGACCACCCTTTTTTCTCAGTAGCATGTAGCTGACCTGCTTAACATGCTAGTCCCCATTCTGAGAAGAGTAGGAACAACACTTTGCATTCTAGGGTTCCTATTTCTATTGAAATCTATTTTAGAGCTATAAATTCAGATTCATATTTTATATTTTACTCAAATTAAAGGAATTAATGGAGCTGAGGTTTTGGAATTAACTAATACTTACTAGTGGCCAGATACTGTACTAATTACAGTGTTTTATGTAATCTTTGCAATAACTGTATTAATGGTAGATTTTATTAAATATCTTTTTGACAGATGGTGCTATGTATTTAAGAGGGTTATATAATTTGCCCAAGGCACATAATTGTTGAGTTAGGGCTTAAATCTAGGCTTGTTGAACACTAAATCTATGCTCAAATCTGTGGTCTTTTTTCTATATCAAATTAACTTTATGAATTATCTTTTTTATTTTTTATTATAAATTTATAATTTATATAAATTAGAAGCACAATTTAAATTTTACTATACACTCTAGGATTTGATGTTTTACTCATTATATTCTTTTTTCAGAATTTTTCAGAATATGGTTTGTTATTTTGAAGTTAGAAATTAACATTATTAATATTGACTATTTTGTATTCATTCTGCTGAAGTTAAAAGTTAACCTTTTTTTTTTTTTTTGAGAAGATTTTGCTATAGGGTGCATGCGCTCTACAGGAAGACAGAGAGAGACAGAAAGCAAGAAATCATTCCCCTGGGGGATGGCCACGCCACAATCCCTTCTCCTCCATTTTATTCTTGGGATCTTGGGCATGCACATACACATGTCTGGTGTGAGTTTAAGCCAACAGGTCCGGGACTCGAACTGCAGTCAACTACATGGGAGTCCAGCGACATAGCCATTACGCTAACTGTTGGTCCCAGAAGTTAACATTATTAATAGTGACTATTTTATATTCATTCTGCTGCTTTTTTTCACTATACCTTAGAGCTTTATTTCAACTCTGCATAGAATTCTCTTTACAATTTTCAGCTGTAGAATTGAAGCATGAACTCTGATCTGACTTTTGACAAAATAGAAAAGGAGGAGCTGGACTAGGCTAGTAGGAGAGGAAATGAAGTCATAAAGTCGCTAGCTTTCTGGAAAAGACTGTGTGTATCTGACTAAAAAACTAGGTATTATTTATAATATGTGGAGGTTTGTGAATTTGTTATATTTTTAATGAGAAGAGCCTGAGGGGTACTATTTTGTTTGTAATTACACAGATATAAAAGGCTTGGTCTTTTTCAGCAAGCTTTAGGCTTCAGGTTGAACAGAAAATTCCCCAGCTCTATTCATGGATTGATAAGGAGTACATAATTCAGCTTCCTTTTCTTGGAAGGCTTTAGTGGATTATTGGGAGAATCAATTGTGCAGTATGAGCACCTGAAATGCGGCTGGTCTGAATTAGAAGTATAACTATACTTTATAGTTATAGAAGTATAACTATATTTTAACTCCTGATTATGAAGACTTAGTATAAAAAAAGTAAGAATACTTATTAATAATATTTAAATGTTGAGTAGATACTAAAATCATAATGTTTCAGATATACTAAGTAAATAAAATGCTATATTGAAATTAATTTCACTAGTTCCTTTTTTTCTTATTTTGAAGTGGCCACTGGAAAATGTAGTTATATCTGCATATTTCATTAAATCCTGTGGGGCAACATTACTTTCAATGCAGAGCTGTTCTGTCGGATACATACTGCCTCCTATGACCCTGAGTAATAGAGATGGACTTGTGGCCAGCATACTGGACGGCTTGTTGGTTCCACTAGAAGACAGTGTGGTCTTTTTCTGGTGTGGTTTTCCTGCTGCATAGGGGCAGAACTGTGTTGTAGTCCAGTTCCATAGGACTGACTAAGGACTGTGCATTTGTACTTGCAGTAACTACCACTCTTCTGGACTAGCTTAAACTCAGAAAAGAAAAGAAACTGGTGTGGGGGTATGAGTACGGGCAGATGATTTACTTCTTTGTAGGACTCCTGTTATAGAGTTAAGGCTGAACAAGGGGGTATTCTTTTAAGAAATGGAAGCATATTTGAAGATTTGATGAAGACTGAACACAAATCTATTTATTTGGTTCCAAGCCATCTTATCAGAGAAGTTCTGCTCTGGCAGAAATCCATTTAAGCGGAGGAAAAAAAAAATCCATTTTAAACGGCCCCAAATTTATTAGAGCAATGGAGATGAATGTTTTGTCTACATAGATTGTTATTTGAAATTTTCTTTTTAAAGGTTCCATTGCCTTCAGAATTAAAGTTGACTTTAAGCTCAACTCAAATTCCTCTCTGTGGCTGCTTTTGGTTTTGGGTTCACTCCTGGGGCAGATGTGATTTATTTTCCTGTGCTTGTTATTAATC